GAGTTCTCACAAAATCTATAATAATTCAGATGAAAGTCATAGTGAATACACATTATGACAAAGTACTCAAAAAAAGAGATGAGAAGAAACTAATCACTATTAACAAATTTCCCAAACTAAATCAACATGGTAATATCTATACAAAAATATGCTCTCAACAAGAATAAAAGCTATGTAGTTTTTTACTAGTAAGTCCAGTATTTCCCTTAAACTACATTTGTAAGAGACAAAGCTTTAGTTTCTAAAGATCTTCCAAAATATTCCTATTGCTTCCTCAAATACAGACTGCCTCATTTCCTACAAATTGTTTTTCTAACTCTGTTCAATATCAACTTCATTAAAACTTTAAAGACTTAATCCTGAGTTATGGCTTGATGAGATCTCTGTGGGATGAAAGAAATCAAGAGATCACAGTACCTACTATTTTAAAATGTTCTTACAATGGAAACATAATTATGAGAATGCACTGCTGTAGAGAAAAGAAGGTTACAACACACACATACACAAAATATCATTTTAAACCCTAGGGTGAGTTTCTAAAAAGGAAAGCTTGTTTTTTCAAACAAGCATCAAGCCAAATATCATTTAATTAGGCTGATTTTGTAGTTCAGACATGAGTCACACTTTTAAAAGAGAAAATACAATAAAACTACTTGCTATAAATGTAAAGTATCACTTGTCATGTGAATGTATTCTTGATCTATATATTGACCAGAATGATTTCAATTTATAAAAATGTAATTTATATTCTTTAAGTCACATGATCAAGCATTTCCCCGATTTTTGTCAGTTTTGTTCTTGAAGTTTTTATTTTATGATATTTCCTTTGTCAGTGTCAAAGGATATGTTTGATAGTAAAATACTGAATGAGTATGCTGTTAAATAGTATACATCCACCAAAACAAGTTGGAAAAATACTAAAAATTTTGATTAACCATAATTTTTATAACAGAAACAAGGACTCAGAAACAAGTAGAAACAAGAACTGAGAAAAATAAGACAAATAAAAATCAACAAAATTTAGTAAAATTATAATCACTTCTTTGATTTATTTTATCCAATCATTATAAACATACTACATCATTCTTTAAAACAAAAGTAAAGAAGACCCAAAACTTAAGCTATGAAAGCTATCTAATGTTTTTCGGGTGAAGAATTTTATTGATTACTGATTTTTTTTAATGCCCCAGTTTAAGGGAAAGAATTAAATTACAGAAAAATAATAAAAAACACTGATTAAAATACATAGATTTAAGCTTATCTAATTACTCTGTGCTTTACAGACAGACTTTCACTTGAAAACTCAAAGAGTGATACTAATGACCTCCAAGGTTCCTGGCCACTCCAACATTTAACAGATTCTATAAACACTTATCCGTTCTTGATGGGGAATGCTATCTATTACATGCAGCAACTCTTGAGTGAAAAACAGAAATAATTCTAGAGTTAATCATTTGTTCAGGTGTTTCTATTCAAGAGTAAAACAAATGCCAGAATTGAGTAAGCCATGTAATTCACATGGCAAGTTAAGTGGTATCAACATTCAAGCAAATATTCGAGCAGCTCATACAGGTATTTCACATATAAATAATAACTCAAGTAATAAGGACTGTAAGAATATTCTTTTCTTATGTTCTAAAGGCTTTTCTATGGTTCAGTGACCTAAGCCAATGTGCCAGTTCAAGGTCTCCAACATTTCACTTCCAAAGACCTACAGTCCACACAGTACTATGGGACTAAGTATTCCTGCTCTGTCTGTGTCTTCACTGTGGGATTTACTTCTATATGCACGGTGCTGTAGAATGGTCATTTTAGAACCCCAATTGCTTGACTTAGTTTATGTCTCCTTCTGCCAGCTATTTCCTCTATAAGACCACATTATTGCTCTAATTACAAAATAATAATAACAATCCTTAATGGTAAAAATAATAATCTATAAAATTATTCACATTCTTTGACAGAGGACACGCAGTACATCACACTACTTTTTTGTGTGTTGTGTTGTGAAATACACAGGCAAGAAAAATCAACTGGATCAAGTTCTAGCCCCAATCTTACCACAATCTAAACTGTGCAATCTTGTAGAAAACACCAACTTGTTCTGACTCAAAGGTTTCTTATCTAAGGCTGCATTTTGCTACACAGTCCCAGGGTAAGCCACCATTGTGCTCCAGGGATGGCATTCACAATGCATCCGAGGCACCCTATGGTCCTGGAACTCTGTGATGGGAGAGCTGGCCCTGCCAATTCTCATGTTTTCAAAATGCAATATCATGATTTTAAAATCTGCGACCTTCATTGTGTAATTTCAGTATTCCCTCTGCATTTATGCGGTTTCAACATCATATGCACTGCAACTTGGTGAGCTAATACAAGGATTAAGAGACTCTCCGTATGTCAGCCCTGAAATCAGAAATACAACTGTGGCCTTTCCCATCCAATACCTGACTTAGTTCACTGTCTCACGCTCTCTCCCCTAGCAAGTCTGGCCCATGAAACTTGTGTCTCAGTGACAGAAATTCAGAGTGGAAATTATCATGACAAGTTATTCCATTTCACCACTTTACCATTTGTGACTCAGTTTGTATTTCACAGGAAATGGCTGGCAGGCCATTTAGTGAGTTTAAAGGATAAATCAAATATTAAGTGAACATAACATCAAAGAGCTTATAAAATAGATTTGCTCAAATAGTTTTTCCTTTTGGTGTTCAGCAACTTCCTCCCAATCCAGCTAAAGAAGTCTCTCTGGAGAACTGAGATGTGGAAGGTGCTCTCTCTCTATAAACAGGCTCATCTCAAGCTATGTGAATCATGGTCACTGACAGCAAATCAACAGATTAGTTATTTGGCTTTGTTAGTAATGGTAACAGATACTATCATCTTCCCCAAAAGTTTTGTTGCACCCTATGCTCCCAATTCTTCTAAGCTAAGCTTCATAACAAACTCAAGTCCACAGTGGACAGATACACGCATGTTGCCCTTGCACTCAGCATCTCCTAACAGGTCCTGTCATCTCTTTGTCAGATTATTACTGTGACACTTAAGCTAAAGGAATCCACCAGTCATGATCCTCTTTGCCAAAATGTACACTAAGTAGATGAAAAAGAGGAAAAGATTAAATGAGCAATAAAAAAACAATAAACTCAGCAGTTTCCTCAAAGTCTCTATTTTCTAATGAGATGCCAAGGAAAAGGCCACAGGAAGCAGTTTCCTTAATTAAGCCATGCAAATCACTGGTCTCCAAGTCAACTTCAACAAAGATCAGGTGAGTTTATATTATCCATTCACAAAAACAATCCACCTAACATTTAGATTACCCTTGTTCGTTAATAAGCAGGCTGACTAGAATCTATTCACAAAAACTGGAGGGCAAGAACATAGTTCAGAGACTGAAATATCAAAGTCACATGGAATTCAGAGCCTTGAAGCTCTTTGTAGACCACATAAGCTCTGAGAGATGGCCCCCAAATGATGCTTGCACGACAATATGAAGAATTTCATTTTCCCCTAATATGAGTTATTTACTGTGCAGAGTTAAGTCTAGTATTTTGCACATATCTTCCCTTTATACAATAAACAGGCCATATTAACTGGATATAAAATAAGAGACTTTAGTAGCTTCTGCCTTAAGATTGTAACTTAAGATCCTGAAATTTACTATTTCATCAACATCATGGGATAAGAAAAAGAGCCCACTATGGAATGAATAATGTCATGAAAACTTAACAGAAAAATGAGATGGAACAGCTTCTTTACAAGGCTTAATCCAAATTTCTAAACTAATTCTGAGCCCCACTTGTCCAGACTTTTCAAGTGTTTTCTTTACCCAAAGACCGCAGCCCATATGCTTCATTCCTGAAACCCAAGAGAACATCACAATCAGAGCTGCAAAGATGCGAACCTAAACGTCAACTGGTCACTGAGCAAGCTTTCCTTCTAGACTGTATTTGCTTTCAGTTGTCCACAGCAAGGGTTAATCATCTGCAGATTGCAAATGACCCTATGGGCCACACCCAGGGAAGTACAGACCTTGGAAATTCTGCTTTCTTTTTCTCAAGATAGCCTGGCTTAAATTGGGGATAATCTCTCTTAAATTTTGAGGTATCCAATTTCCCTTTGTAAACAGAGATACAGCAAAGACTAACCATTTGAGTTTAAAGCCAAAGAATTATCTTCAGAAAGGCCAGGCTAAGATCTCTGATAAGTCTAAAGTTTCCTTTACACTCACTGAGACCAAACTGCAGATACTATGTTGTTCCGTAAATGTCCCAAAAGTGTGAGTGTGCAAAGATGGGAGTAACAAGACAGAAAAGTTAATGAGCAGAGCCACTGGGAACAAGGAGAGAAGCAGTTGGAAGAGAGTAAGAAAAGGTCTGGGTGAAAAGACGTGAAAGGGCATGGGTGAAAACAGGCAAGTGAGAAATTGATCAGAAACATGAGGAAGATGCCACATCATGTGTTGCCAAACAAAGAGTTAGAAAAAGACAATAAATATAAGTTCATTTTGTGCCTACTGTCTGTTAAGATTGCACTGTGTTATGAGAGATATAGGAAGGAAGGTTTATTTACATTTAGGTTCTCAGGAGGTAGATTAAATACTGGATGGATGGATGGATGGATGGATGGATGGATGGATGGATGGATGGATAGACAGATGGATGGACAGATGATGGGATGTATGAGAAACAGAAATGGAGAATGAGGTGGCCACTGTCCTCAGGGACTCTACAGGCTCTATGGGACAAAGAGCATGTAAATATGTAACTCTCATCCTAATCAAACCGTGGTTTCATCGAGGTATAAAGTGCCTTCCTGAATATGGGGCAAGAAGCTATTAGCTAACAGAGGGTGACTGAAATCTACCTGAAAATTGTGGGAGAACGAGGGCCAGAATGGAAGAGGAGGATCCTGGTTCTCTTCCATGAATGCCCCTAGATGCTCTGCAGAAGGGGAGGGGGGTGTTAGCCACTAGGGAGCCCACCGTTAGGGCTTCTACTGACCTGGTCTCCTCCTCACTGGCCTCTTGCGGCCGCTGCAGAAGCGCACTTTGCTGAAAACCCCGAGGACGTGCCTCTCGCACAGGGAGCGCCCGTCTTTGCTGGGGCTGGAACGGCGCTTGGAGGCCGACACCCGGTCGCTGTTGGACTCCCTCGCCTGTCGCTTCTGCCGGATCAAGGAGCTGGCTATCGCTGCAGCCATAGCTGCTCAGCGCGGGCCCCAGGCCCCGGGCTCCACTGCGCCCTCGGGATCACGCTCCGCCGGGGCGAGGGCAGGACCTCGGCGGCCTGGAGGGACAGGGCAGGCGCGGGGAGGCAGTGCTAATATTTGAGAAGGCTGCAGTACTGAAAACCCGGCGCCCACAAGGTTAGTCAAGAGTCTGGGCAGTGGCGACAAAATGTGTGAAAATCCAGATGTAAACTTCCCCAACCTCTGGCGGCGGGGGCGGGGCGGTCCCAGGCCTTCCAGTTAACTAGACTCTTGCATCCCAAACTTGCACCCCCAGGTGATCCGCGTCCAAGGGGGCAGTGGGGACTTTGTTCACACTGCGTTCAGAGTACCAAGTGGAAAGGGAAGAAGGATGTCCAAAACAACAAGCCGTGCCCCTGTCGGAGAGGCGCAAGCGTTGCAAGGTGTCCAAAGTATATCTACACACACATACATAGAAAACCCGTTTACAAAGCAAGAGTCTGGACCGCGGCGGGTAGCGTGCCCCCGGTAGAAAATGCTAAAAAGTGAATAAAACGTTCCTTTAGAAAACAAGCCACCAACCGCAAGAGAGGAGAGGAAGGCAGCAATTTAACTCCCTGCGGCCCGCAGTTCTGGAGATTAGGAGGTCCGTCCCGGCTGGGTGAGGTCTACCGAATGCATCGCCCCGGCTGCGGTTCTCCGGGGGCCCGCCGCCCGAGTTCTGGAATTCCGAGAGGCGCGAAGTGGGAGCGGTTAGCTGGAGTCGGGGTAGGGGCGCCTGGCGGGGCAGATGTTTCCAGCTGCGGCGAGCGCGACTCCCCGCCAGCAGCGCTGCAAAGAGAGCGGGAGGCGAGGGAGGAGGAGGGCAAGAGGGAAGGGGAGGGAAGGAAAGGAGGAGGGAGGGAGGGAGATCCTCCAGGGCCAGGCACCCTCCGGGAGAAACCCGCGAGAGACGAGCGCCGCGGAGACGCGGGGTCCCAAAGAGCGGGCGCTCTTTTCTCTTTCCGCTTTCTTTCTGGCACAAGATGGGCACAGTTGGTGATTATTTAGGGAATCCTAAATCTGGAATGACTCAGTGGTTTAAATAAGCCCCCTCAAAAGGCAGCGATGCCGAAGGTGGCCTCTCCAGCTCGGCGCCCACACGCCTTTAACTGGAGCTCCCCGCCATGGTCCGCCCGGGGCCGCCGCACCGAGCCGCTCTCCGCACAGGCTCAGAGACAGCGAGGGAAGGAGGGGGCGCCCTGGCGGGCTCGGGATCAGGTCATCGCCGCGCTGCCCCGGCCCCCCAGGCTCGCGCGGCTCGGCAGTCGACAGCTCACAGGCAGCAGATCAGATGGGGATTACCCGCCGGACGCGAGGCCGATCACTCCGTCCCGCGCGGCCCATCCCGGCCGAGGAAGGAAGTGACCAGCGCTCTGCGAATACCCGCGTGGCGGCTCGGGTGGGGCGGGGGCTGGCTGCGGGCGACTTCGGCTCCAGGCGGCTGCGGCTCCGCTCCGGAGCTGTCCACCATGGTCTGGCGCCCGGGGCGAAAGCGGGGCCCCTGGGCCGCCGGGCTTGGGCGCGTCGGGAGGCGGCCGAGCGCACCACCCGGGCCCTGGGGGCCGGACGCAGACTCTGGGGCCGGGGCCAGGAAGCAGGTGCGGATTGCCGTCTACTCGCCCAACTCGCTGCGCGGGTGGCCGCTCAGAGCCGCGGGCTAGCGGGGTGCCCCCCGCCGCCGCCTCCCTGGGCCCCAGAGGGGGCGCTCCGGGCGGAGTCCCATTCGGGGGCTGAGGCTCCCGGCACGCCGAGCCGCACCGGCTCCTGGGCGCCGTCGCCGCCTAGCCGGTTCGCTCGGCTGGAGTGCTATCTCTGCAGGAAACTCCTGGCAGTGACTACCGCCACCGAGACGGAGGGTGGGACGAAGGGCGGGAGGCCGCCAAAGCACCTTTGGCACTGCTCGCCCACCCGCTGCGAGCTCGGGAGCGCCCAGGTGGAGCCAAGCTCCCGGAGCGCAGGGAAGCGCAGCGCGCTAGGAGCCTCCTCCCCTCCCTCGCGCCCTCGGCTCCCAGACTCTTCCCCCTCCCTCCCGTCACCCCTCTCCCCCTTCTCCGTCTTCTGTCTCTCCCCTTTTCTCCTCTCTACGCAATCCTACGTGATTGAGGTTTGGATGAGAAATTCTCAGAGGCAGAGCGAAACAACTGCAGCTCGGATCGGCTCAGTCCCATCCCTCCCCCGAGAGAAAACACCACCGACCGGTTAAAGGACCCCGGTGCACAAAGAGAGGTTAGGGGTGGGGGAATTGAGAGAAATTGGTCTGCAGTCTCTCCAATAAGCTGGAGCACAAAGAATTCTGCTTTGAATGGAAGGTAGGAGACACCAGAGAAAGTAACGATGGCCCCTTGGGCCCACCTTCAGCTCAATTTGGAAAAGGAAAAAGTGTTTCCACATTCCAGGAACCCAGATTTCTGGGTCCGATCCTCCGGAAAGCTGCAAAACAGACTCAGTCCCTAAAATGAGGGACCAGGTGAGCACTCTGCACAGAGGGGAGGATGCAGGTGGAGAGGGTGACTGTGGGCAAGGGCAGTCAAGAGCCAGCTCTGGAGGGCAGTCAGGTCTCCAGGAGTGCTTGTGGTGACCGGTGGACACTACAGAAAACTCAGCAGAGGAGAAAACGTCACCTAAGCAGAAATGCAGCATGAAGAATTTTGGAAACATAAAGGAGTAGCCATGCTAAGGGCTGGAAATGGCTGTTGTGATACAAAGTATCATTCTTCAACCAGTCTTCAAATATCCTTAGGCCCTCCCCTTAACAGACATTTCCATAAGCCACCAGGGTAGTGCCAAAAGATTTAACGGGTGATTTCCAAACAGAAACAGGTGTATGCTGGAAATACCCTAATAGTGGGCAAGGAACATGAATGTCAAGGAAACTACTGAGAATGGATGTGGGTCCTGGAGAGGGCCCAGGAATCCTCCAGATTCCTAGCAGAATGAGAACTGAGGCCTATGAAGTTGTTTAGCGCAAGCACTGTTAAACAGCCCCACTGCGTCTGGGGGCCCGGACCTTTCATGCTGCCGCTGGGTACAGCACAGGCAGATGGGTTTAAGAGGCAGACATCTGGAGGAGGATTAAATAGGCAAGGAGCCATAAGGGGGGGGAATCCCAACTGTCAATGGGAAGCACACATCCCCTGCAGTAGCTCAGGGTGCCTGCATAAGGGGAGTGAACTTGGGATTCTGACAATATGTAACAGACAGGGGAGAGAGATACACACACACGGACACACACACACACGTGTGCACACACACACACACGCAGCCCTCTTCTCCAGAAGTGAAGCCAGCCAAATACATTTTCAAAAGTACATCTGAATGTGGTAAGGGAAATTACTGAAAATCAGTTGGTAACACTGTCAATTAGGGAAGTGTTCACATTTTACAGATAAAATTATCTATTTTCCTGCCTTGGCTGCCACAAGCCTTGTCTCATTCTTGAGGAAGGCAGGCACAAATAGTACTGGCTGGCTCTGGGGGCTCCTTGCCTCTTGCAGTTCAACACTCAAAAAGAAAAAGGTCAGCTAAGGTGAGGAATCCAGAGAAATGGGCAAGAGCGGAGTATATAGTGAGGCCTTGAAGAAATCACTGCTAAACTCTGAGTCTTTTTCTTATCCTCAAAATGGGGACAATCAGTCTCATCTACCTCCCAGAACTGAATATGTATGTGCAAGCATTCTGAAAAGTGGAAAATGCCAAATGAGTAAAAGAGATGATGACAGTGTTTATTTTTTTAAGAGAAAGCATGATATTCTTCTGAGATGCTTTTTTTAAATGTAGATTCCTGATGGTTTCTCAGAATGTGAATATCTATGAGTAGAGCCCAGGAATTTTAAGTTTTTAACAAGTTCTTCAGGTGTCAGAGTTTGAGAGATATATAGATATAGATATACAGGGATATATTTTTCAATAATACAAAATCCTAGAAGAGAGAAATAAACTCAGATTCTCAAAAAATTAATATACTTCACTAGAACTGCAGTTCTATACCCACCAAAAAAGGCCTGGAAAGGGAATGTGTGTTCTCTAATCTTTGAGTGTGTTGATTTTTTTTTTTTCCAGTGGGTTTATGACATACGAAGATGTTTTGATGCAGAAGGTAACCAGTGTAGCAGCACACAATAGAAGAGGGCGATGAGAGAAGAGAAAAAAAGCAGATAACACTCGCTGTTTGAAGTTTTCCCTGTCTTGACAGCATCGTTAGGCATTTATAGAACAAAATGAAAACAATAAATGCTAGCTTCCTGAAAGTGACACTCCATGTCTTTAGATCTCTACTAAAAGAATGTGGTGTTTTTGATTCAATTAAACAACAAAGACTTTACTTTTTCCCTTGTACTACTGTAGCTATTGTCAGGGTGCATTTTAGCTGTTGAGCACTTTAAGTTATCAACAGCATCACTTTCTTCATTTGTCCAATGAGAAGAAGTTAATATAGGAAAATTTGAGAAGTTACATAGGACCTATGTATAAGGCTCTTAAGATCAGAAGCAATACCCTAGTTAATCTTTTTCATATTCAGAAATTCATTACTTTCCTACCTAGGCCACTAAGTCTCATAAGTTTTCCTTCATGGTTAATAAGACATTTCTGATATCTTTGCATGGGGGGGGGGGTCAGAAGGAAATTAAATCAACACACTGATGATTTAATTAAAACAATCAGGTCATTTTGAAGGACAATATCTCAGGGATAACAATACCTTGGCTTTTATGCTTTTTTAATACAACTTAAGAATTTCCATTTACAGTTTTGAAAACATCATAGGTGGAAGCAGTTGAATTACTTGGAGAAAGTTGCCAGATACACATTGAAAGGATAACTATATTTATATTTCTGACCTACCTTCAAACAAATAAAACATAGTCTTAATCATCTCTATATTTTAAAATCATCTCCATATTTTAAAGGGGAAAAAAACAGAATGTCGAATAGTCTTTCCCTTATTCATAGGCCAAGTCTTTCAACTCCTAAATCAAACTAGGACCACTAATCAAAATAGGACCACTCCATTCATTCACTTGAAAGCTTGAATTGGGCACAGATTGCATCCAAGGCCTGTTTCAGTTACCAAGAGGAACTCTATACATCTCTCTATTCTCCCTGCCCTCACAACCTTCTATTTCATGCCATCATGATCTTATTTGGCTCCTGTCTTAATCACCTACTTGCTGTATGCTACTGAACAAGCTATTCAATCTCCAAACCACATCTGCAAAATACATCAATGATAATGACACAAGTAGTTCCTTATCTAACTGGGCTGCTGCAGGCTCAAAGAAGATGTGATAATAAAGTCAAGTATTAGAATGAGCATGCCATCATTAAAATATCCATTTAAAGCAAGGCCCTGCTATAAAATTCAGACTTGCCAAAACAGGAAAACATACCTTGTGATTCAAACCTATCATCATTCACTCATGGACATAATGTATTTAACAAAGGCTGGAAATTCACTCGAAATGAACGATTAACTTTGACATTGTAATGGCAAATAAAATTTTCACTAGTGGAATATTGTCAATGTCCTTGTCTATCGGAAACACAAAAGAGTCCAGCTCTGCTCATATATCGTCCTTCTCTGAGATCCTGCGTTGAGTCGGGCCCCTGACTCAAAGCTTGGTGAATATGAGCTCACCAGCCTGACACTGCAGGCTTGACAGGTAGAAGAAGACCTTTTCTCCATGAATGCTATCCCACACAATGGCTGTACTTCGATTTCCTTTTCACTGCCAGATTGCCAGTTAAAATAGGGTGGTTACAGCAGCACAAATGATTACTTTCTAGTAATTTGTGATTTCCTTTATGGTGCCTTATTCAACAGTTTAACAATTACTACATGTGATATATTTGTCTGGTTTTAGTCATCTCTCAAAATAAGAAAGACTTAATTCTTCTTCATGACACAGATTAAAGTTAGTATCCTTATTGCCCAAGTAAAGAAATTATTAATGTTTTAAAGAATGTCTGTTTTAATAAGAAATATAAGCTCTAACTATGGTGAGCCAGGGCTAAACTCCCTGCAGAGTTCTGAGTGACTTGCAATTATTGATACATTGAATCCTCCCTATAAGGTATGTTCTGTCATTATTCTCATTTTATAAATGAAGAAACTGACACATGGAGAGGTTAAGTTGCTTAGTCAGCCACCCAGTCAAGAAATGGCAAGATTCAAATTTAACTAATTTAATTATTTCCAGAGCTTCTTTTTTACCCTCTATGTTACACTGTATGTCAACAGAAGCATGATGCCATAAATAACCATGTAATTCAATTAATAAAATAAGAATATAATCATCATTAGCATTGATAGTCTTTTTACTGTTTAGAAATCATCTTCCCATGTATTATCTTATTAAGGCTTTCAAGAATCTTGGAAGGAAAATTAAGGAGATAATAATAACCCAATTTACAAAATGAGACTCTAATAAGTGATGTAATCTCCCAAGACCCCACAACAGATGAGTTAAGATACATGAGTTTAATCTAGGCCTTCTGACTTCAGTGTTTCTCATGGCCCAACTGAGCTCACATAAAGAAAAAATTGCCCTGGTGACTCAGTCAGTAAAGAATCCACCTTCAATATAGGAGACTGCTTGCAATGCAGGAGACCCTGGTGCGATCCGTGGGTCAGTAAGAGCCCCTGAAGAAGGCAATGGCAGCCCACCTCAGTATTCTTGCCTGGGAAATCCCATGGACAGAGGAGCCTGGTGTGCCTCAGTCCATGGGGTCACAAAAGAGTCAGACAGCCCTAAGTAACTAAACCTGCACAAAGAAGAAAAGATGAGAATGTAATATGTCCTTTCATTCTCTGACTTCAGCCCTCCCTGAGCAGGATTTCACACCGTGTAAATGACCTTGAAGAGATCACTCTGTGTGGGAAAGGAGTGCGGGCCTTAAGTGTCCCAAATCTTCTCCCTCCATAGCTTTTACCTCTCTCTGTGCCTAGGACTAAGGTGGTTGTTGTCTCACTCTTGGCATAAGACAGTATCTTTGGTTCTGAGACTGCGGCCTCCAAATATTCACCTCCTTAGTTTAGTAATTTAAGTTGAGCTTCATGAGAAAACTACAGAAAAACTAAATCAAAACAGAAATTAGAGAAATTTTTAAGTTATAACTTTATAAAGTTACACTTCTTCCCTTCGCATTCCTAAAAAAAATGTACATTGGTTTGACTTGAAACACATATCTGGCCCTTGGTTATTTTCCTTCCTAGCTGGATTGAGGATCTTTAAAAACTGCCCCCAATTGATTCTCCATCATTTTTACCCTTTCCTAATTTCCAGTGCCACTGCTTCAGTGATACCTCTTCCTTCTAGATGAGGAATGTAGCTTGAAGATCCTCATAAGAATGTAAAACCCATAATGACAAGAAGTTTGTCTTTTTTATTTACTTTCCTATCTCCAGTTCCTTAAATATTAGTAAATAGCAGACACTCAATAAATACTTTAATGAATTAATTCATGAATTTATCCAATCATCCACCAATCTTTTTAAGTAAAAATGAAACATCTATTCTTATACAAAGAAACAAACTCAGCTAATTCAAGGGTAGCCTCCTCATTTCCAACTTGATCATTTTGCTTTATAAATACTCTAAAATCTGTCTAAATCCCATCTATCTATTAAAATTGGATATCCTTAGAGGCCACATGGTATCCAGATTTTTGCACTGACCAACTTCCACCCCCTGTATTTAGGTGTATAGTTTCAGCTTTTATCTTTCTCTCTCTCTCTTCTCTCAATCCCACCACCCCCTCTCATACACACACACACACACACACACACACACACACACACAAATACCACATTCAGAGAAGAAAAGGAATATAACAATAATGAAAAAAGAGACCACAGAATTGATAAAATGATTAGTCAATTTTTAAAGGCTCAGACTATGATCAAAATGACCTTAAAATGGTTTGATAATCCTAAAATTCATGCTGTCACCCATCTGTACTGAGCCGCTTTCTCCATGGACCTAGCTGCTCCATTTCTAAATTTAGATTCCAAATTTTCAGGGAATGGATCTTGTTGAAATAGCAGTCTCTTCCAGCATCCAGCACAAGACTGACATTCAAATTATATTATTAAAACTGTCATAAATTCATATTTTGTCCCATGTGCATGTAGCACTGGGCTCTGTAAAAGTAACCATTAGTGAAAGACTCCATTGATCCTATTTGATATTTAATAAGATTTTATTGGATATTTATTTGATATTTAATAAAACTACATTGGAAATAACTGAAATATCCAAACTGGCTAGAGAAAATTTTCAGGGGATCAAATGGAAGTGGTGACCAGTAAGGTCATTTATAGTCCAAACAGTTTAGAATTCTCTAAAATTAAAATGCAAATAAGAGGGCTTCCTTCCTGGCTCAGTGATAAAGAATCCATCGGTGCAGGAGACAGAGTTTCAATCCCTGGTCTGGGAGTATCCCATGTTCCGCAGGGCAACTAAGCCTGTATGTCACAACTACTGAGCCTGTGCTCTTAGAGCCCAGGAAATGAAACTACTAAGCCTTCGTGCAGCAACTACTGAAACCCCTGTGCCCTAGAGCCTGCGCTCCACAACAAGAGAAGCCACCACAATAAGAAGCATGCACCCTGTCACTGGAGGGCAGCCCCCATGAGAAAGTCCACACAGCAATGAAGATCCAGCACAGCCAAAAAGTAAATCAATCAAAAATTTTTAAAGAAATGTAAGTTAGAAAGGACAGGTGATTCAGAATAATCTTTCCTTGCATAAAGTTACTTTGTCTGAGCCTAACTTTGTTTGCCGGTAAAATGACTTAGATTAATTAAAGTAATATGTTGAAAAGATAGCATTGGTTTCTGAAACAAAGAACTGTATGAATAAGTGAAAAAATGAATGAATGGGTAGATGAGTAGATGGGCGGATAGCTGAAAAGTAGCATCATTCATCTACAAACCTCTAAATTCACATTGTTAGGCTAAACAAAATAGCTCAAGATTAAAAATATCTGGCAAGCTTCCTTTTGGAATACTGTGGAGACAAGAAAATGTTAGAGAAACCCACAGTAGTAAATGAAAGCACTTAATAAACTTCTAAGTCATTCACTTACCAATTATTTTCACATAAAATTATATTCTCCTATGA